GGGGGGGGGGGGGGGGGGGAGCCGTGGGGGAGGCGGGGGGGGGGAAGAGGGGGGGGGGGGGGGGAGGTTGGGGGGAAACGCCGGGCAAGGTGGGGGGGCAGCAGAGAAGGCCTCATCATCCCGCAAAAGCCTGGGAAGCGGAGGAGGGGGAAGCGGAGGACGGAAGAAGAAGTCGAAAGTAACGCCAGAAGAAGGGAGGACTCGCTGGACGCCCCCACCCCGCCCCGCTCGCTCGCTCGGACAGCTGGATGCAGGGAGGGGACCGGCGGCCCCTCCGCTCGCGTGGATCGTGCGGACCGGGGGTGGGTGGGATTTGGAGGCTCCCGACTCGCACGCAGGGCCTTCCCTCGCCAGCCGGGGCTGCCTCCGCCGCGCGCCCGGCGCTTCCGAAGTCAGGCAGGGCTGGGATCCGTCCGGCGCTAGCCCGAGGCCGCGGTAGGGCGCGGGGCAGCGCGATCCTCGAGGCGCCCCGGCGGACGGCGGTGCCTCCTCGCGCCCCTCTCATTCGGGGCTGACGCGCCCTCGCGAAGAGCGGGGCAGGGCAGGCGCGGCAGCGAGGAACGCTCTGGCGCGGCGCTGCGGCAAGCGCGGTCCCTCCCGTCCGTCCCCGGAGCCGGTCCTTTGGGGAGGGGGTGGGGAGGCGGCGGCGGCGGCGGGGGCGGCGGGGGCGGCGGACGGGAGCCGTCGATGACCGCAGGGCTGCTGCGCGCCCCTTCCTCTCGACCCCCCCCGCCGCCTCCTCCTCCTCCGCCGCCGCCGCCGCCTCCCTTCGCCGAGGCCGGCGCGCTCCCCATGACGACAGTGCCCGAGAAGGCTCCGCAGCCGCCGCAGCTCGGGGCCAGCATGGAGTCCGCCTCGTCCACCACCTCCTCGACGCCCAGCAGCGGCGGCGGCGGCGGCGGCGGCGGCGCCAAAGCCAAGAAGACCAACGCGGGCATCCGACGGCCGGAGAAGCCGCCCTACTCGTACATCGCGCTCATCGTGATGGCCATCCAGAGCTCGCCGTCCAAGCGCCTGACGCTGAGCGAGATCTACCAGTTCCTGCAGAGCCGCTTCCCCTTCTTCCGCGGCTCCTACCAGGGCTGGAAGAACTCGGTGCGCCACAACCTCTCGCTCAACGAGTGCTTCATCAAGCTGCCCAAGGGGCTGGGCCGGCCCGGCAAGGGCCACTACTGGACCATCGACCCGGCCAGCGAGTTCATGTTCGAGGAGGGCTCCTTCCGACGGCGCCCGCGCGGCTTCAGGCGGAAGTGCCAGGCGCTCAAGCCCATGTACAGCATGATGAACCTGAACTTCAACCACCTCCAGGACAGCTACGGCTTCCAGGGCCCGTCCTGCGCGCCCAGCAGCCTCCCGCTGGACGGCGGCGCCCTGGGCATGATGAACGTCGAGGGGATGGGGCTGGCGGGCCACTCCGTCCCGCACCTGCCGGGCAACGGCGGGCACCACTCGTACATGGGCAGCTGCGGCGCGGCCGCCGGGGGCAGCTCGGCCGGAGCGGACTACGCGCACCACGACGGCTCCGTGCCCGCCTCGCCCCTGCTGCCCGGCGGCGGCGTGATGGAGCCGCACTCGGTCTACTCGCCCGCGGCCCCGCCGGCCTGGGCGCCCGCGGCCGCGCCGGGCCTGAACGGTGGCGGCTCCTACATCAAGCAGCAGCCGCTGTCGCCCTGCAACGCGGCCGGCAACCCGCTCGCCTCGGGCCTCTCCTCGCACGCGCTGGAGCCGCACTACCAGCACCAGGGCGGCCACAACCCGGCGGAGCTGCAAGGTGAGCGGGGCGCGGCGGGGCGCGGCGGGGCGCGGGGCGCGGGCCGGAGCGGCCGCTGCGGGGACGGCGTGTCAGGCTGAGCCGCGGCGGCCGCGCGCCCCTTGCGGGGAGCGCGGGGCCCGGGAGGCCGGGCAGGGCCTGCCGCGCCGCGGGGTCCATCTCGCTGGCCATCTCTGCCCGCTGGACCGCGGCATTTCCCCGTGGAAGATAACCCGGCGTAACTGCCACGCTCTTCCCTTCATTTTGCACTAAACTAAAGCCTTGGCGGCATCGGAGCCACCCGGGCAGGACTGCAGTGCTGAAAGCAAAAGTACGGCTGTTCATTCCAATTCCAATTCCAGTTCCAATTCCAGTTCCAGTTCCAGTTCCAGTTCCAATTTCAATTATTCTACGTGTTTCCCCCCTTCCCTTGCCTTCTCCTGCAAGGAACCCAAACCCGCCTCTCCTTTTATTCTCACAAATACAACCCTGTAAGGTAGGTTAGGCTCACACTTCTTGGCCGCCCCAAAGTCGCCCAGCGAGCTTTCAGGATGGGACGGGGACGCGCTACGAAGAGTCCTCTAGAAGAGGGGATCTCGAGCGGAGCCGCTGCCCAGTGCGCGCGCGCACACGCGCACACCCAGCGGATCGGGGCCTGCCCAAGCCAGGAAGGGAGACTTTTGGGAAGGAGATGGAACCTGGCCTGCACCAGGGCTGCTGGGGCAGAGAGAGGGAGGTGCGTTTTGCAGGGGTCACAGCGAGCCTGGATGGGGAGGGGGCTAAAGGCACAGGGTCTGGAGTCTTGAGGGGCAAGGAAGCTCTGCCGTGGGGCAACAGAAGCCAGCAGTTGGAGGTGGGAGTGGGGAGCAAGCCAGATTGTGGATTTGTAGACAGAAAGGTGAAAAGATTTCTTTATTCCTGCCCATCTCTGAAATTCTGGCTTGAGATTCACCTGGGAGAGTTTTTGCCCATCTCAAAAGACAGGCAGACAGACAGACAGACAGAAAATAAATCATGGTGGGTTTTGAGCATTCAGGAATACAAAAGGTCTGGTCACCTTCAAGGTGGAGGGTTTTTTAAAAAATTGCATCAATATTATGGGAGCCTCTTTCTTTTTCTTTTTGCGTTGTGTGTTTGGTAGCGAACTTTGTGGTGGCGATTTCCCTCTCCTGCACCCATTTTTCTATCCTGCTCAAGGATCCTAATAAAAATAGTGGGCTGCACAGGGAAGACAGAAAAGGCATGGGATTAATTAAATCTCCTTGGTCCTACCAAATGCCGGTGCTATTCGATATCAGGGTCCTATTGTATAACAGATAATATTACTTGGACTTGCCAACCTCATTACCTACAGATCTTTGTGATAATACAAAGGAGCCCCAGAGACTGTTGGATAATTCAAAGGCCAGTAAAATCCTTACAACTCCCCTTCTGGATGATGATAAAATATATTTATTTTATACAGATTTAATATATAGGCTATGCAAACGTGATCCTGAAATCAGCAGGGAATTTGCCATTGCTTTTTATAACACTGTAGCCTAACTATTAGATAGATGCATCTGTACAAGATACCCAGAAATCCCTACGAACATATTCTTTAGTTAATAGATGTACAGAACTCCTGCAAAGCCCATGGCCCCAGAATGCGATGGCATGCCATATTCCATTGATAAGCTATTATCAATTATCAAGCACAATCTTATGCATATTTAGACAGGAAACAGTGCCACATTTCCCAGCCAGCCAGCCAGCAAGAATGGACTTTTTTTCCTAAGAACATAGGGGACTGTATCCCAAATCAATTTTGTTTCCTCTCTTCATTTCCTAATAAAGTGTCCCAGTTTTATACCTTAATCCATCAGATTTCAAAATAATAGCCCTGCTGGCTTTTGTGAAACAGGGCTGCAGATTATTATTAATTTATATTATTATTATTATTATTATTATTATTATTATTATTAATGACAGTCACTCAGCTTGCAAGAAAGACCTTAATATGCGCCTTTGCTGCTTCTCCAAGCAGTGCATAGAACTTTTCTGGATCAGGCAAAAAAAACAAAAACAAAAAAACAATTAAACACCCACCTTACTAAAATGGCTTGACGCCTTGTGTGTTAATAGTTAATCTGCTTTCAATGTAAAGGAGATTCTTGATACGAAGAGTGAAAAATATGTTTTGATTTATTCTCTTGTCAGTTCCCGCACCATTTACTTGGGTTTAAAAAAATGAAATTTTTATTTTACTTCATCTCAGGGCACCTGAAATGCTGTCATTTTGTGTATGGCATAATCATTTGATCTGACTCCATAGATTGTCTGTAACCCATGAAAATTTATACTGCACAAAATGTGTTGCCTTGAAGATGGCACAGGTGTCTTGGAGGGTGACCCCTTGAGTCAATACTTCAGTTTTTAGCAATAGTAATTCTAATAAAAAACTCTTTTAATAAGAATTAGCTGCCTCCAACCAAAATGCAGCATGGCCAGTTGGCAGCAATTTATCCTGGTCATGGCAGCAAGCACAATCCAAGATGAATTCATACTCAAAAGTATCTCGCATTAAATTAGCAAGACTATAACAATCCTTTATTTGTGTAGGCTTGTGCCAAAAATATTATTACTGCTACTACTTTCTCTTTCCAGACCTTGCTTCTTGTTATGCCATCTTCCTCCCTCGAAATTAAGTTTTTACATTAAAAACAATACAATACAAAACAAAACAATCTCCCAGGACAGGTCTCTGCAAAGGAGCCAGTTCTGAGCCAATATTTTATGAACGGCATCATTTCAGTTGCCCTTTTGAACTTTCTTTTGTAGACAAAACGTATTTCTTTCTTCAACCGGCTGTAGGAAGGCAGCTTTTTAACTGGTTTTCTTAAACTTTGGTCTGCCTGATCTTAAATTTAACACCCCACCCGGGAACTCCTCCTCTCTCCCCACTGCTGATTTAGGGTCGGTGGCCTTTCCCCTCTGCATTCAGTAAAGAGGAGGCAAGTTGGTGTGTCGGTGATACAGGTGAAAAGAGTAAACAGAACCCCGGAGATTAGTTTCGATTTTGTAAAAAGGCACTCAGATTGCTTTTTCCCTCATTGGTGGGTGGAGAGAGAGAGAGAGAGAGAGAGAGAGAGAGAGAGAGAGAGAGAGAGGGGGTCAACATTGGCTCAATGCCGTCTACTCTGAGGAGGGAAAGGGTCTCAGAAACTAGCTAGCGCTTCCAATGAGAAATTGGCAAGGTCCCTCTTTTGTATAGGAAAACAGCCTAGAGTCGAAAAGACGGTTAATGTAGTTTTTCTTTTCCCAGTTAGTAGCGGAAAAGAAACATTTCTTTCCAGCGGCCAAGAGGCATTTAGGAACAACAAAATGAAACAACACACAGAAGGGTTCAGTAGGAAAAAATATTTTTAAAAGATGAGAAAATCCTCAACATCGTAATCGAAGGCGGAGTGGGATTTAAACAAGAATGAGTCTGATGAGACATTGAGAAGTTGCTGGAGAAAAGCAGCCTTTTCTGTGAAGGCCCACAAACAAAAAGGGATTCTTCATTTTTGTGTCCTTTTGACGCTGGGCTGCAGTGTTGCTTCTCCTAAAAAGTGGGGTGGGTTTACTTGGATCACGTGTGTTTAAAGCGAGTAAGGATCTGGACCAGCAGGCCGAGGAAAAGAATCATAGAGAGCCACAGAAACAGGCAGGGATTTTTTTAATTGAATTGTTGAGGGGGGGGGGATCCAGAGGTCCAAGGCTGGAGGCAGGAGAGTCCCCAAACTCAGGAGCAACGAGTGGCTACATCTTGAAGTAATTCAAGACAAGCCAGCACTGAAAGACGGAGACTAGCATTACGTTTAGGGTGCAAAATATATCAGCCTGCAGCTCCATCAACAAACCTCTGATTTCGGAAGGTGCTTTTGGTGAACTGGTGCAGTTTGTGGGTGCGAGGGACCTTCAGCCAGGTGCTGTCCAGTTCTTCAGAGCGAGTGAGGAAGAGACAGGGATAAAAAAACAAAAGAATACATGCAGGGACATGAAACAGTGGAGGGGAATGGAGAAATAGTATTCCGCTTCAGGGACAGACAGAAGTGGGGTTATTGCCGTCTTCTTTAAGCAAGTGTTTGCAACATTTCAATTTCAAAATGTTTTTTTATGAAGAGGTTGTCCTGATGCTTCTTAAACTTTCTGCCATTTTAACAACGTATGGCTTAATTTTTCCTCTTCTTTTATATGTATTATTTTAAAAAGGGTGGACAAAATGGGACATTTATTTTTAAAATCATTCTCTGGGTATATGAAAGGTATACAATTTTGGAAAGGCTGCTACATATATCATTTTGACTTCTGCGGAACAGGTTTGGGGACTGGGCAGTCCATGAGCAGAACAAAACAAAAGAAAACGCTTTGAAAAGAATATAGAAAAGGAGATTGTACAAAAGCCACAGATATACTATGTTGAGTCATCCTGAGAAAAGAGGAATTAGTATACATGTGTGTGTGTTTTCATAGGCCTAAATCTGAACATTTCCAAACACGGGTTAAAATAATTTAACCTGTTGCCAAGTCTGGCTACAGACTTTTTCAGTATCCATTAACTATACTATGAGTGGATATTGTACAGAACTGTAAAGTGCTCCTATGCCAAAATCTGGAAGGAGTCGACATTCTGGAGGCGAGATGAATGCAAATACTCCTGATTGAATGTTGTCAGCCGTTCAAAACGCTATTCCATAGAGTGTTAGGTAGTACATCCCATTTAGCTCAGTGGGGCTTACCGCCAGATCAGTGGACATAGGCGCACAGTCTGAGTATGAATTTCTCTAGCAGGGTAAACCCAAGAAGACTTTTTCAGCAAAAATAGCAAAGTGTCTTATTGCACCTTAAAGACAAACTAATTTATCTTGACATAAGCTTTCACGGACACATTTCATGCATGTGATGATGTGGAAAGAGTTCCCCAAACTTATGCCAGGGTAAATTTGTTAGTCTTTAAATGTGCTGCAAGACCCTTTGTTCTTTTCTGAATAATCTATCAAAATGTGGGGAGGTGCTTTAGGAAATGGTGTTATTCAGAAGCGAATGTTCTAGACTGAATCGCTTTTTCTTGCAATCAGTATCTGCAACAGGTGGTGTTAAGGCATGCAAACATTCTGCAGAATTAACCAGGCAATGGGGAATACCTGCATTTAATAAATTGCCTGTTTGTGTTCCATTTTTTAAGTGTTTGTGTTCACTGTAAATCTTTGTTAGGATACAGAAGTGGGCAAAGAAGTGTTTGAACACCAGAATATCAAAATGCAGGGCTTGCTTTCCCACTGGCATGAATATAATTGCAATTACCAAGAAATTAATATTATGATTGACTATATTTCTATACTGCCAATTGACAAAAGCTGTCTGGTAGTTTACAGAAAGACAAATCTGCGTATACTAAAAAACAAAAACAAGAAAAAACAGTGGAGAGGGAAGAAGAAAGAAAGAAAGAAGGAAAGGGAAAACAGTCCTTCTCCTTCCCTGGCTAGCCAGGAAACAGACGCCCATCCCATCCTGCAATTCGCATTTGGGCAAAATTCCTATTCCAGTCAAGTGGGAATTTCTTCTCCCCAAGAACTGCAGCATCTAACTTAACGTCACCTAACTGGGCTGGCTGAATCGAGAGGCGTCTCTCCCATCCCAGTGGCCTCTGGGTGTCTTAGGGTATAAATTCCATCTTCTTCAGTTAGAATCGCTTTGCTGGCCAGGGATGGTGGCAGCTGTAGGAAGAAACAGGGCCGGGGAAGATGGATCTAGGGGCTGATGGAGGACAGAACTTGGGAGAGCTTGCGTTGCTTGTCCTTGAGCAGATAAGGCAGATATGAGAAGGAGAGGATCCCCAGATGAAACCTGCGCTCACCAGCATGGGCTGTGGATCAGTTGTTTGCTTCTCCAGCCCAAGCGCTTTTTTCTTTTTTTAAAAATGGCTGTTACACGAAGGAGTTTGAAAAGAGTTTGTACCATGGCAAGAATTTCCGTTGATGCACTGAGCCTTGCCCAACCTGGAGGCTTCCAGATGTTCTTCAACTGCCATGATATAGCCTAACGCATTCAGAGGATACCAGTTTGGGAGAGGCTGATAGAAGGAAAATGATCATTCAGCAGACCCATGCACCAAATTCCTACAGCTATGCCTAAAAGGGATCTCTGCCATATTGACATCTGTCTGCAGAGTGATCCCGTTTACTGTATGGACTTCAGGCCCAGGTAACCTGTGCCCTCCATTCACAGTCGATCACAGCCTAGTTGCTGCTCATGGACTTTTCTCTTTGCTGCTTGCTTGGAACTAAGAGAGAGAGAGAGAGAGAGAGAGAAAGAGAGAGAGAACACACAAAAACCAAACCAAAGCAAAACAAAACACCTGTAAGCAGGTTGTAAAGCCCCTGGCTGGTCATGAGAGCAAGCCTATAGAGGGGGCAGAGCTGAGCACCTCCTTTGCACGCAGAAGATTCCTGGCATCTCCAGGTAGGCTGAGAAAACATCTTGCCAGAAACCCTGGAGAAGGGCTGCCAGGCAATGTTGAAAAGATTAGGCTAGATGGACCAAACCTCTGTTTTGGTAACTGGGTTGAGAAAGCATGATAACCCACTCTGAACAGATGAATGTGGGTTGTTATGGAACTGTGAGTTCTTGCAAGATGTGTTTTATTGTGGATCCTGAACTCAATGAGATATCAAACCACAGCGCACAACCCACAGTTCCCAACCCAACCACAAAGCATGGGTTTTCTTCAAGGTTTGCTTGTGGTTAACCAACAAGCCATGGATTGCTAATGGAGCTTGGTTCAGACCTCAAAATAACCCATGTTTCAATGACAACCCATACTCAACCTGTGAGTGTGCATTATCATATTGTCTGAACTTTGGTGGTGGCAGGGACTAGTCCTCAATGACCCAAGTGAAAACTATGTCGGACTATGGCACTTCCTGCTATAGGTCCCTTTGTAAGCTGAAGAACTTCTCCAGAAACTTGACCAATAGATGCCCATGAGATATATTCGTATTCTGCAGAAAGCGGCACTCTGGCCTTGTGTAAACATTGAAGATGGGCATGAATCTTGTGGTCAGGGGGAGAAACACCATGCACAAGCATGGCGTCCTCTGTTGTGCCTTCACCTTGGGCCTCCATGATCCGAATCCAACCAGTATGTGCCTATCAAGTTGCATTCAGCTTGGAGGGTCACTATAACCATCACCTGATGATGTCGCTACCTGATGGCACCTCTCCAGAATGTCAGGTTAAGGTCCATTTGGGGTTGGACATCATTCATGGGAAGCCCCTGCTGATAGGAGCACCTCTTTGGGCATGTCACTCATGAACGTTTATGCCGTGTTCCAAGCAGTAAAATGTAAATACATGCAAAATAAGCGTGATGACAATGTGCAACAGTGGGGATAATTGGCGATTGCACAACCTGTTTAGCACTGCTGAGTCAATGAGCGCCTGTGGTGGACCGGGAAGCCATGATCTCAATTCATGCCCAAATGGATAGAATCAAACTTCTGCTCTGTTCTTCTAATCCAACTGCAACACGTTGAACCAGTGAGTTTCCAGGGTGACATAATATTTCTTCCTCTCTCAGCAGCTGTTTGAATCTGCTCTTTGGTTTTCTTTCAGGAATCCGGTACCATTCCCAGTCTCCAAGCATGTGCGACCGGAAAGAATTTGTCTTCTCCATCAACGCCATGGCATCATCTTCAATGCATTCAGGAGGCAGTGGCTCGTACTACCACCAGCAAGTTACGTACCAAGACATCAAACCATGTGTGATGTGACAATAGGGTTGGGGAGACAAACTTTCTTTGGTGGGAGGGGAGGGTAACTAGACCCTAAAGACCCAAGTGAAAACTATGAAGGGCTATGGGAGCCCAAGGACCTCCCCAGAAGCTAGACTGATAGTTGTTCATGAGGTATATCCATATTCAAGACATCTACAGAAAGGAACTTTCTGGCCTTGTGCAAAATGAAGAGGAGCGTGAAGCCATAAAGTGTGCCAAGGTGGGGGAAAGAAGCATCATACACGAACACGAAGTACTCTGCCAGTCTTCATCTTGGGTCTCCATCCATTCTGAATTGTGATCTTGTAACATTTCCAGGAATCCCTTGGGGGTCTCCCCACCCCCCACACCTCCGGGGTTCAAATCACCTCGGCTTTTATTAGATACCTCCAGCCCCGAATTCCAGTGTGCCATTTACCCAATTTAAATGATCCTTTCCCAGAATGGATTCCAAAATCTGAGAGACCAGGATCTGCCGTGCACAGAGGGAACCAAGCGACCCCACTAATCCTGACGGGGACGGCAGTCCATGGCGGTCAGTTTCCTGAGATAGCTGTTCTTCTGTCTGAACTCCTGATTCAACAATGGGAACTAGCCTTTGAGTCTTCAATTCTCTTCTCATGTTTGGGACTGAATATAAAATATACCCAATTCTTTGTATGTTTTACCTCTGATTCAGGGCAATAGAAGGTAACAAATCCCGTGAACGCAGAGATGTTCTCTCCATACCTTCTTTCCAAAAGTGTAATTGTGTGTTGCGCTTCCAAAGTTCTCTGTACCTTCAGGAGTTGGTGGGAATTGACCAGAAGAATGAGATGGCGCGCACCAAAGACTGGAATAGAAGTGAGGGTATGGGTCCACCAGGCTCCGTTCAATGGTCTTTGACCGTGCCCAGGCCTATTTTAAATATTAAGTCCAAAATGACAAAGAAAAGCACTTTGAGAAATAAAGGTTAGACATGGAAAGATGAACAAGGCTCATGCTTTTATTTATTCAAACTTTTTTTTAATAAAACACAACAGCAGCCTTGGTCGCTCAGTATTAAAATAGTTACTGTATTGGCAACATTTGCCGTAGACTTTGAGTATGTGTTAAATAGCCATTGCAAATGTCAAACATCCGTGTGGCAAAGCAATTTTCCCAATGTTTTATATATAATTATATATAAATATAAATATAAATACAAATGAAGGATGTTTTTGTCTTTTCATTGTTTTCTTGGGCCTGACTATACAGTTTGGGCAACACACCTATTTTAAATTTCATTCTGCACTGTATAAAAGTGTAAGTGTGGCAGAAAGATCTATTTTTGTGTACGTTTGTCCTTTGAAGAAGAAATGGAACACAAGTAATAATAAAATGTATGGTATTCGTACATGGCCTTCACGAATTGTATAAACCATCCATCAATAAACCAGCGTGTGGTATAGAAATTTGTGTACTGGCATCTTGGGAATGCAATGCAAGAAGGTTAGGGTACCCTCTTAGGAGGTGTCTCATGGATCATGGCCACCAGGTATTCCCATGGTATTGTTTTTGTGTTGGTTCCCATTGTAGGCTTAGTGGGTTTGGGGTGGCATTTGGGAAGGTTCGCTGCCTTCAGCATTCTCCTCTTTCTCTTACAGTGACCAAACCCACCTCCATCCTCCCGTTGACCTTTTCTAAAATATGTGCCACGTCACAATAGTTGGAATTGGTAGACTCCTGGATTGCAGAATGGAATGGAGGTTTCCTCCACTTCTTAAAGCTAGTGTATCACAGAGAGAGCTAGGCAAACGTCTTTCTCCTTGAAGTTGTTGGTTGCTACATGCAGGATTGCCTGTTCCTTTTTCTCCCACATTGGGGGGGGGGGAGAGGGGGAGGAACACTAAAATATAGTGGCCACCACTTGCAGACTTCAAAAGACACAAATGAGAATTCTGGATTGTCTAGGACTTGTCTCTATATTCCTTGTTGTTGAAACATGGACTGTTTGTTGTCTGCTAAGCGTGATCAAGCCATGGAGAGAATCCCTGGTTTGTTCTTGGCTCGTGAACTGTGGCTTGTTCACCATGATCTGCGATCTTGGCTAGGTTCAAATGAGAAGCTAACCCATGTTCAACGAGAAGCCGTGGGGCAATGACAATCCACACTCAAGCGATGCTCAGCTCTTGAGTGCGGGTGAGCACGCTCAGGCTGTTGTTGGTGACAAGGTGACTGTATTTTTCCTGATATAGCATGGAACAAGGTCCTTGTGTAGAGAAAAGCGTTTTGTGCAGCTTCTGCGGTGGCAATTTTTTTCTTTTTACATGCAGAGAAGATATAAATGGGGACATTTGGTAACTGTAAAGCGCAAAGTTCAGGATGTCGTAATTTCATTCCGTGGCATGCGACCTCTCGGACTCTTTTAGAAGGGCTCTTAGACATGTCGGCACCTGATGCGAAGAATCCATTTGGCAAAGGTCCCTCTTTGTTTTTTGCGTTTAAGAGCAGGACGGTTCTATTTATGCATCCCTTTTATGGCGTGGCCGCTGCACTGGCTGCAGGTTGGAGTCCAGCGGAGGCATAAGACGCACCACCCGTTCGGGTCGCGTCGATCCCGTGGGCATAGCATGGGCAAGACTAGAACCCGTGGCAGGGAAGGGGTGGGCAGCAGCGTCCGTCCGTCCGTCCTTTTCAGTCCCTCCGTTGACAGTTCAGCCTTCCAAAAGTACATCCTGATTTTAATTCCTGTGCTAGAGAAAGAGCAACATGCAATCTGTATTTGACCCACTTTCTCAGCAGTCTCTTTCTAGATACACAAATAATTAAATGTGCTATTAAATATAATAACACATTTATTATTTTTACATATTATAGTAATTATTATTCCTCCGCCACTTTTCCTATTCTGCCTGTTTCCCTCCTGCGAGGAACCCAAAGCAGCTTGCAGAACCTGGCTCTAATTTTTTTGTTCCACAAAAGCCGTGCAAGGGAGGTTGGGCTGTGGCTGAGCGACTGGCCCAAAGTCACGTTATGCCACCTTCGCGGGGCAGCAGGCACCACTGAACACAGCAGGACCCACTTCCTGGTAAGCACGCTTCACCTCCTGCCCCTCTGGATCCAAGCCTTTATAGCAGCACTTTTTTTTCATAAATTAGATCAATGTGGGCAGCGCAGAGTAATGGTGCTAGAAATGGGTGATCAGTGTTGACCTTATGGTGGGCACTTCCCAGCCTATCCATTGCCCTGTTGCACTTCTTGGGTCCAGTTTTCCCCATGCTGGGGTCATTCACTGCATCCCCAGCTGAACTGGGATGAGTTGCACCCTCGGTGCATTTAAAATCACGGATGAGGCATGGCAAACGGCCGCCCAGCAGAAGTAGCGCATGCCAAGGTTCAGTCTCGATCCAGAGCAGTGTTGTAATTATTTATTAATTCATTCATTCATTTGGAATTTTTGTATGCCGTCCCATTCGCATAAGCCTCGGGACGGCTTCCAACATCATAAATAAATGCGCATACAAATAAATGCATAATAATAACATTCCAAATAAATAATAAATAATCTTAAGAACTTGGGGAGAATCCAGACCAAGTGTCCATCTAGGCCAGCATCCTGTCCACAGGGTGGACAACCAACCTACAAGTAGGCCATGAGCCCAAGAACATCTCCCTGCTAATGTTCTATCAAAAGGCGCACCACCTCTTCCACTGAAGCTTGCATATAATTAACGTCAGGACTAATCAGCCCTGATGGGCACCACCTCCATCAATTTGCCCCGTCCCCTTTGAAAAGGACCGTCCCCATGAGAAGTTGCTAGAAAACCCACACCGGTGGGGGAATTGAGTTGGGTCAGCTTCACCGATCAGGCTGTTGTGGAGAAGCAGGCTGACGGATCTCGTAGTCTGTCGTTCATTCCAGGTAGGAGCGGAGGAGGAATATAGCAGTGAACAAGGCCATCTCTAAAGGGAGGCATGGTCCAGGACTTGCCGAGGGCCCCAGCAGGCACTCAGTGGTGTGAGCCCCTGGGATTATTGTAGTTAAAACTCCATTGTAGTTAGAATTCGGGAAATCCAGGTTCTTGTCCTTGCTTTGCCATGGCGGACTGTCCGGCTCACCCACATCACTGGGGGGGGGGGGAAGGAGAGGAGGAATGTTCTGGAAGCCACCTTCGGTTCTTTGCAGGAGAAAAAAGATGGAGTAGAAATTAAGAAATCAATAAATCAGGGATGCAGGACTTCAGGGCAGGAGCCAAGTCTGGCTGGTTTGGGGCTCCCCACAGTGCCACGCCATCTTCCCGGTCCCCCCTCCTTCCCTCCACCTCCATCATCCTGTGCTTTCCTGGATTTTGTGTGGTTTTCCTCCCCCATGCTCAATGGTTGACACGGCAACAGCCGGGAAGTGCTTGGCTCTAGCGTGGGATGGACGGTCGGATGCGTGGGCTCCACCCCCTTTGCCTTTGGCCCCGCCTGCTGGTGGAGAGGTGCCCGGGGCAACGTTTTTATCTGAGACATATTATATATATATATCTGTTGTGTGCCTGGGCTTTATCTTGCATGACTTGATTTATATCTCATTATTTCATCATGAGGCGTTGGTTTTTGCTTTTGTAAAGCACCTCAGGTAATGTCTGTGCAAGAGATGGGCAGGTTCTAAATCCCTATATAAATATGAAAGGGATTTACATATTTATATAGGGAGCTACAGGAGTCAAGGTTTACAGGCAGGAAAAGCACCCGACCATTTCGCTTCATAGCTTAGGGTGTTTTCCCAGCTTAAGAACTAGGTTACCTTTCCTGGTATTTTTTTCCCCCCACTGAAATTGGCAAGCCTTTTTTCCATTCACATTTTAGGCTCCTCCTTTTAACAATCCTTTGGAGGGATTTTTCCCACAAAACCGATTCACATCTATTTTTCACAAAACCAGTCGGTCCCATAGGAGACATTTGCCCGCTTCATGGGCAAACTTGCCTATCAGACTGGTTTGCTCCTTGTTATCTTTATTTGCAGGCTTCAGGGATTAGCTTCGTTTTTCTCTTTTATATGCATCGATGATGAATGTGGGGCAGTTCTCATATCCCGTTTCCTGTCCAGGAAAAAGGAAAAAAGAAAAATAGGAAAAGGAAGCGAGATAAGCCGGACAAGAAAAGGGGCAGTCTAGCTATTTCTTTGTGTCCTGGAGGACTCAATCGCTAAACTTGATCCACTGCAGACTTCCACAGCTTGGAGCCTTCTAGATGTGTCAGACTACAACTCCTATCATTTTCAGATGCTGGGATTTGTAGTTCACCCAATGTAACGGAATATACCCAGGGGAACTTCCCAGTCCCCAGACTGGCTCTACTCATTCAGCCACCTTTGCTTGGTGTCTTACAAGCCGTTTATATAACTCTATTTATGTCTTTAAAATAAATTCCAGTTGTTGGTGGTGAACGCATTTCTGTTTTGACGTTATAAAACCTTGCATTGCAGAGGAAGAAGGAAATCATAATTCCAAATGCTGAATTAGAACTAACTTCCTCTGAATTATATCCCTTTTCAAACCACAGAGAGAGAGAAGGGGGTGGTGGGGAGACTTTGTCTCAAGTTGATTGAACTTTTAAATATTTTGCAGAGGGAAAAAGCGAAGAAACTAGCTTGGGACAAGCATTCCCAGATGGAAGGAAAGTAGCAATATTTTTTGACAAGAGACTTAAAAATGGTGCTTGCTCTAACTTGCCATGAACCCTCTATTTAGACCTAAAATATTCTCAGGCCTGGAGAATTTGTTCATCCCTCTCTTTCTCTCCCTCTCCCCCCACCCCCCACACATGTATATAGACGGAATTAATTGCAATTTTACGTCAGTACAATTCAAGTGCATTATCCACTCCCTTTTCCCAAAACTTACTGCATTCACCAATTGCACAAACTGTGCAGTATCCCATTTCTTAAAGTCACCATCATCCCTTTATATCCTGGAATTATTTCCAAAATGTTGCAATTAAAAATCAACTGCTGATGTTTCCAAAATTTTGCCGTCCAAACCAAAATGCGGCAGATGCTCCAAAAGGTTGGCATTAAAAAGAGGGAATTGCTGACGGCCTGCAAGTACAATTTGCTTTCCTGCTAGTTTTGCATCTTTCATATAACCCAACAGTACATCTCTTGATCTAGGCATAAATACACCCCCCACCGCCCGCTCCTTCCAGTGGGGTTCACACAGGACAACCGATTGCAGCTCTTCTCTTCTTGCTTCCCAATCAAGTCTTTTCTGAGCTGAAATCCATCAGTGTGAATTTTTCAGGAGCCCCGTCTGCTCGCAGACGCACACAGAGACTGCCCTTATTTTTCCCCTTTCTCACTCTCTGGACTCCCCAGTACTGCACCCTCTCTGGAGATCTACCTTTCCTGAAGCTGTTTCTTTTCAAACCTGATTACTCTGGCCAAAAGGTAATTCCTTTCCGCTCAGCTTACAG